TGTGCCCATGTCCCAGTCATTTGTTCTCTCAGACATTTAGACAGACGGACAGACACACACACACACACACACACACACACACACACACACACTGCATTCAGCATTCTCGTGGGTGGTAGCAGTGAGGTTACGGGAGAAAACATGACATGGTCCTTGCTCTCATGGAGCTGACATCAGGTAATCGTAGATGCAAGGAGTGCTGCAGGTGCAGAAGGAAAGGGTCTTATGCGCGACAGGGGGCCGTGGTGGTTCAGTGGTGGGATTCTCCATATCCATTTGGGAGATGCAGGCTTGACCCCCAGCCAATGCACCTCATGCATGACCAGCACCCAGCAGTGGGTGGAAGCTTGGCAGTTCCTATGATGCTGATCATGATCAGGTTTCAGTTGAGCTTCCAGACGAAGACAGGCTAGACAGAAAGACTTCAACTTTTGGGAATCTGCCAGCAAAAAACCACCATCTCTTGATCACCATGGTTTGACCCAAAACAACCACGGGGAGCCTGCAGGACAGGGTGGCATTCTGCTGTCCAATTTATCAGTAAAATCTTCAAGAAATGCACCAGTCCCCACACCCAGCTGACTTCTGGCTACCTTGAGCTCTACTGTGGCTTCATCAGCTCTCAGCTAGATTGCTATACAAGTTCCCCGAAGGTTTTCCTGTGTCTGTCCTTGCCCTCCTAGGTCTCTTCTCCAGAGAGAGCTGGAGTGAGCCTGTCCAGTCTGCTCATGACAGCCCCCCCATTCCCCCCCAGCTCACAGTTCTCCTCTGACTGCTCATCACACTGAATATGCTCTGACGACCCTTCTGGGACAAGAAGCTCCTACATGAGCTGGCCCCTGGGGACCTTCAAATTTCACTTCCTTCTTCCCTTTCTCTTCCTTGCCTGCTCTGCTGAACCACCTCTTACTGTTTCTTGTGCACTACGACAGTTAAGGTTTTGTGTCAACTTGGCTCCGCTAGGGTTCTCAGTGGTTTGGAAATGAACACCTAGAAGTTTCCCAGGACCTGCCTTGACACAATGTAATCACAGCCACTCAGTGGCCAGCCTCCATAGTGTGATATGATTAGAGTGGAACACAACACCTTTACTTAAGTCACAGCCCTGATACAATGAATCGCCTTGGGGATCAGGCCTGGTTCCGATAAAAGTGGACACTGTGATTAATTTGTTTGATTTTTGCTGGGTCTGGATCCTGCATCTGGCTCATCAACCTCCATGTTCTCTGGATTGAGCGAAGGGCCTGCCATATTGCCTGCTGACCCCCAAGAGTCCTTAGCCACCTGTCACCTGTTGACCTTGGATTCATTTGTCTCTGCAGCCACAAGCCTGACCTGCTGATCTTGCATCCCTGTGCGTCTGCAGCCACCATCCGGTGGCCTTCCTGCCAACTGCCAGCTCTTGAAACTCTGTGAGTCAGGAGGAGCCTCCAGCCCAACATCTGACCCACGGACTCAGAGCCTAGTTGGACGTGGACTAGCCATGTTCTTGATAGAGTTTCCTCTCTCTCTCTGAGATACACGTAAAAGCACCACTGGATTGACTTCTCTAGAGAACCCAGCCCGAGATGCTCGCTGAGCCCACTCCTTTCTCCAGCCCTTTGTACTTGTTCCTCTCTCTGCTGGGAAAGCCATCCCTCCAGGCGGTGCTGTCTAGTAGAGTGGCCACTCACCACAGGTGGGGACTTCCATCTGAACTAGTTAGAATTTGGAACTACTCAGTGCTCAGGGGCCACATGTGGCTCGTGGTCACTCTCTTAGAGAGGGGACTTGTACATTTCCAGCGTTGCTGGGAGCTCATTTGGACGATGGTTCCTGAGCTGTCCCCAGGCTCCCTCACCCCAGTGAGGTCTTGAATCCAATGGCCTCTTACGGCCATGCCTTTCCAACAGCACCTCTTTCCATTCTTCCACCCCCTCCGCTTGCATTCTTGTTCTTTATAGCTGTTAGGACGATCTCTGCCTGTAGAGTGTGATCCGGCTCCTCCTCTGGAATGTACCGTGTATACTCGAGTATAAGCCGACCCGAATATCAGCCAAGGCACCACAAAAACGGCATTGAAAATGTGCTGAAAAACTCGGCTTATACACGAGTATATACGGTAAGTTTCTTGAGAGCTGGAACTTTGCTTTTCTCCTTCCACCATTCGTCCCTAGAACTTAGGAGACACCAGGCTTTTAAACAAGCCACTTAATTGCGTTCTGCCTCAGCTTCCTCACCTGCTAAGTGGGGCTAATAGCAATAGTACTTGTCTCAAGGGGTTGTTAGAGGATGAAGTGAGCAAAGCCAATATGCCTAGCACTTAATAAACACTCATTCAACCAATCATCAAGTAGGCAATTGCAGATGATAATTGTTTATGCGCTAAATAAATAAATGTGAGCTACCAGTGTTAGTAAAACCTACCCACTGCCATTGAGTTGATTCCAATTCACAGCAAACCCAGAGGTCAGAACTACTCCATAGGGTCTCTGAGACTATAAATCTTTATGGGAGCAGACAGCCTCATTTTTCTAGCATGGAGTTGCTAGTGGGTTTGAACCACTGACCTTGCTCTTAGCAGCTCAATACATAACTCCCAGTGCCACCTGAGCCTTCTAATACTAGTCAATAACTATCTGTCTGTTGAGTGAATGAATGAATGAATAGACAGTGTTCAACCAAAGCCCACCTAGGTGGCGGTAGGGGATGCGGGTTTCAGTGGGTGGAATCTGAAAACACACCCAAGGAGGAAAGAAACACAAAGGATGGGCAGATAGGAGATGGACGGCTGGGAGCGAGGGGCAAGGGCGGTGTGGACGAGGACAGGGAACACGCAGAGGAAAGCAAGGTCCACCATTGGGAGGGGGCACATACGCTGACAGTCAGGCCCGAATCTCCCCGGCCAGCACAGCTCGCACGCCGTCCCGTTGAAGCCCATGTTGCACTGGCACTCTCCTGTGGCCCAGTACTGGTCGTGGCACACTCCTCGGTTATTGCACGGGGTATCCGGTCCTCCAGGGCAGGCTGCAAGAGATGCAGCCCCAGTGACTCCACAGGTTCCCGGGACCCAGAGCAGCTCCGGGCCTTTGAAAAGGGTGCCGCTAAACTGTCTCCGATCGCAGATTCTGATATCCACTAACCTAGAGGGACCATGGTCCCAGCATTACTGGATATGCAGGGCGAGACAGTGGCTTATGGGGTGTGAGCTTAAATGCATCCAGTAGGGGTCTACCGTGGCATGGGAATATGCTGAACCATGCACTGCTTTGGGGGTCAGGAATATCATGGATCTGAGTCTATTGCATTGAGTAATGAACTTGTTCTGAGCATCAGTTTCCTTAGCTCTGAATGATAGTAGTCGGAGGGCAATGATGGTTTGGTGGCAGGATTTCAGCCTTCTGTGCAGGTGGTTGGGGTTGGGTGCCCAGCCAGTGCCCCCATGAGCAATCACCACCCAGCTGCCCGTGGGGGCGTGGGTGTTGCTCTGATGCTGGGCAGCTGTCAGCAGAGTCCCCAGTCCAATATGGACTCGGAGGAAAACTCTGGTGATCTATTTCCAAAAATTAACCAGTGAAGACCTGAGGGGTCTTTGATTTGCTTTGATTTGCAACCATTCCCGGGATGGTGAGGGACCAGGCATTGGTCCCATTCGGCGCGGGGTCACCGACTTGACTGCAGCAGACGATAAATAACGATGGTGGTGGTGATGGTGATGGCGGTGATGCCTCTTTGGCCCCAGTGTTCTGGTGAGGGTCAGGTGAGGTCATATAACCGAGTGCATTTTGAGATGCAGAGTACTGAGCAAATATAATGGATGGTCCACACTTCAGTGCTGGAGGGTAGAGATGGGTGATTGCAAGGCCTCTCAGCTCAGAATGTCCTCATCTAGAGCATGGTGCATTGGCTACATTTGGTAATAGGAAGCATGACGTTTGGTTACAGCTGGGGCCCTTGGGCCTTAGCCTTTCTGTGCCTCAGTTTTCTCATTTGTTAAATGGGATAACAACGGAACTTACATCCTAGGGGTTGCTGTGGGGATGAAATGAATGGATATACGGTTGACCCTTGATATTTGTGGTCGTTATCTTTGGCACAGTTTCTAGGAGCATTGAATGAATGACTACTAAACCACTGTCCCTGGGGAAATACAGAAGTCATCAATTGATCATTACCAATCTTATTTTGTGTGTATTTTTGTTGGGAAACAAACAAACAAACAAACCCATAGCCATCGAATCATAGTAGCCCTGTAAGGGTTTTTTTTTGAGGTTGTAAATCTTTGGGGGAGCAGACAGCTTCATCTTTTCCCCATAGAGTGGCTGGTGAGTTTGAACAGCTGACCTTGTGGCTAGCAGGCCAAAGCGTACCCAACAGTACCACGAGGGTTCCTCCTGTCAGCAGACACCTTGATTAATATACATTGTTGACTCTTTCACACTGAGTCAATAGCACTATAGTGCATGCCTGAATCAGGCTTATCTAACACACACATTTCCTCTATTTTTTTACATGGCAATTTTCTTGCTCTTGGGATGAGGGGCACCTGAGGTAGCAAAATCACCAACAAAAGGCACAGAAATGTGAAAATCGTGGCACTAATAGACTGTGGAGGAAGCTCTGGCTTACAGTGCGAGAAATGAGATCTGGAGGCCGAGTGTGGCTTTGAGCAACCTCAGGGGGGGGCCAGGTGCCCCGGGGGGCTTAACTCAACAGTCTTTCGGTGTCTTTTGTAGGCCCACGAATGACCACAGTTGCATTGCAAGTATTGGTCGTGGGAACAGATACATTTTAGCAAGTAGGCGGATTTGTACATATGGGGCCTACACATAATGAGAAGTCACTGTGCATAAGTCACCTGTGGGAAGTAGGTAAAGGCACCCACGTAGGACAATGTGTGGAACGTGTGAGTGCCGTCTAAGTGTGGCTATGCCCACTGGCGATGTGTTAAGATGCTTGTTGGTGATGGATCACTGGCTGCAAGTTATATGGAGACACTGAAGCCCCAGGTTGTGCCCAAGCTCCCGTAAGCAGAAGAGGCCATTCCCGGAGGACCACAAGTCACTTGGCAACGCTACCCATTCTGTAACCGGGAGTTCTCAGGATATGGCGACCCACACAGGTCTGATCAGTGTGCCACCTTGCCAAAATAGAATCCTGAGATGCATTTACGCTCATGTCTTTATCAATATCATGGACATTGCATACCATTCAATATGATTTTTTTTTTAACCACCACGGGACAATGTATATGATATGATGTTAGACCAAAGAGCCTAAAGTGTGCACGATTTAATATATACCTTGTGAAATCTCAGTGCAGGACAAAAACCACAGAATGAATGATATAAAATTCTTCAGACTGACCGAGAGAGTCATGGAGAGAGATGCTCCCCTGCACTGCACCCTGACCTCTTTATATACTTTTGGGTCCTTTCAAACTCGGTACAATGAGAATTGCATGGCAGGAAGAGTTGCCCTCACCCTGACAGTCTCGCCCGAAGTACCCCTTGCAGCACCTGGGGAGCTGCACCACCATGAAGCACTGCTGCTGGCAGCCTGGCAGGTTCCGCTTGAAGGGCAGGTGGTAGAGACACTTCTGCTTCACACCCTGAAAAACACAGAGAGGGCTCCATCCCAACACTCGGGGTCTTGAGTCCCTCCGCCCCCTGGTGGAAGCTTCTGGGTACTACTCAGGTTGAACATGGGACAGTCAAGGAGATTCTTTATAGGGTAGTTAGTAGGGCTCAGCACCAGAACTCAAGGGAAGACATTTTCTTCACCATCTCAAGAGAAAAGACCTTTACAGATGAGTGCAAATGGTGGGGTTGCCTGGGGGTCATGGCTTCCCATCGTGGAAACCAGCGATATCAGTTGTGAGTTAATTTGGACTTTGGGTGACCCGTGTGTGTCAAAGGAGAACTTTGTTCGACGGGGGTTTCACTGGCTGCTTTTTGGGAAGCAGGTGGCCAGGGCTTTCTTGTGAGACACCTCTGGATCAGCAGTCAGGTGCATTCGCTGTTTGTACCACCCAGGGGCTCCCCGCATCGCAGAACGTGATGCGTTAAAGGTTGGCAAGCCCTCAAGTCCCCGCAGAAGGGCTTGAGTTTGTTTAATAGAGGTGTTTCTATTAGTGAGTCTACTTTCAGGTACAGCACCGCGGGACAAGGCAGCTTTAGCGAAGGGTTAAAGAGCTCCGGCTAAGGACCAGGCTCTGTACGCCCGTTTTCAAAAATTGGTTCTTCCTTATAACCACATGCGAAAGGGTCATTGTCATCTTCAAACGTCAGAAACTTCTAGATTATGTAACTTGCCACACCTATTGGCTCAAATGTCATGTACTTAACCATCACTCTATATTTGGACTCTACCTTAGCTTTTCTCCTAACTAGCTGTGTGGATTAGGGCAATTACTTAACCACGTGGAGACTCATTTTCTCATAAGTAAAGTAGAACCACTACTTGCTTCTCTCTAGTATTGTAATGAGGAGTGGGACGAGTGTATATAAAGGACCAAGCACGGAGCTTAGAAGTCCTGGTGGCCTAGTGGTTATGCCTTGGACTGCTAACCCCAAGGTCAGCTGTTCAAAACCACCAGCCCCTCCAAGGGGATTCCTGTGAAAAGTTACAGTCTTGAAAACTCACCAGGGTTGGAACAGACTCAATAACAGTGAGCAAGTGAGCGGCATGGGGCTTGAGACATGAAGAGCAACCAACTGACTATAGCCAGCATCTGAAAACAAATGTCACTAGTTCTGTTACGTCCCTTCAAAGTTTACAACACGATGCCTTTTCTAGACAGTTCCTGGAAGATGGGCATTGGATTGGCAGGTTGCCTGGTTTGAAGATATGCATATCGGATGCTTGATTGTTGAAAGAATGACATGAATTAAAGGAATATAACTCAATATAACTCAAAGTTATGTACACACACACTCTTAACTCACTGTCAGATGAGAGTTTGAATATGAAGCAGACTTGCTGCTCTCCAAACAACATCACTGCATTCATAATTACCTTTGGTTTGCTCTCCTTTGGGCAGCTGGGAGTATTGATACAACTTCCACAATCCCCCTAGAGTAAAAGAAAAGCAATGATTGACAACAAGAATATTGGAAACCACAAGAAAATGCTCTTGGTTAATACCTTGAGGGGTTGGTTAGTAATTTCATTAATCTTGATGAAGAGTGGGCTATGGTTCACATGATAAACTTGAAATCCACCTGGAACTTTGCCATGGCAAATTACAAGGGTCTATCTTGGACCTGATCGCCTTGCTGTGGTTCTCTGTTAGAAAGAGTGGGGCCTGGACAGTGTTATGCAGGTTGATTGTATGGTGTCAGTGGGATATATGGACACGCATGTCAGTTGCATTATAAATGGGCTATGATACTTTTGGCCATTCACTTGTACTCTTTTATCCATAGATTTTTGGCCCATGAAGTAGGGATGATAATAATTCTGATTGCTATTTGATCTTCAGGGCATTGGTGCTGGTGCTGATGGGGAATGCTCAATTGAAAAAAAAAAGTGAATGTATTTTGGAAATGATGAAGGCCACCTCTTATAGCAGAAGGGACAACTGGCTCACTGGTCTCCTAAAAGAGTGGGCCCATGAAGTACAGGTACTGATGTCAGACTTAGCCATGTCAAGTCACATCACCTATGTGTGACTCCATTTCCAGATACACAAAGGAGATGATGATACCCAAGTCCAAGATTATTGTAGGGATTAACAACAACGACAACAACAACAGACAAGCATTGTGCAAAATGCCCAGTCCAAAGAGGGTACTCAAGAACTGGGTGCTGGGCGGATGAATGAACGTGAAGTGTGAAGATGCCTGGCATGGCACATGACTGTGGACGGATGTTCGGTCAATGCTGTTGAAGGAACAGGTAAAGGAATGAAAGTGTTAGTGGCATATATTAGCTTGGATCATATGAAGGTGACATATTTATGAGTCAACATTGGTAAATATGGTAATTTCATATGGCCTAAAGGTAGGGAATAAAAGGGTCATTAAAAGAATGACTGAACGGATAGATGGACTTGAAAGGACTCATGGTTGATACTCAATGGTTATTTCCTTCGTGAAGAAGGGATGAACGGATAAGTGGGTAGGAGGATAAGGGAGAATTACTAGGCGTGGGTAAAGCTAAGTAGGAGTTTACTGACTTAGAGACTGAAAGCACAGTCCTTCAGCCCTCAGAGCTCTTGGGTCCTGGGCTCGCTGAGGACTAGCCTTTAGTGGTTCTACAACATAGTCCACTACAGATTATGAGGACAAGTCTTTGACTCAAGGGTCCCTTGCTACCGTGATGTTTTGGGGACTGACCGAGATATTGAAACTAGTAAAAGTATCACAGCGGCCTCCTAGTGTGGGGTCAATCAGCAGACAGTCGATGCCATAGGCCACACCCAGGTCAAATAGGAGTCCCCGCTGCACAATTCTGCATGCTTGGCCATTCAGAAAGAGCTCGCCCTGAGAGAGAAAGAGAGAGAGAGAATCAATAGCCCTTCCCAGACTTGTCTTCTTCTCAGGCCGTATTATATGACTAGCTCCTCTGAGAGTCAGAACTGAAACAAAAACAACCCCCCAAACGAACACGATCACTCTGATGTACACTCGCTGTTCTACGTGCTTCACTTGTGCAAACTCTTTGAATTTTGTGACAGCTAGTATCAGTGAACCCATTTTGCTGGTATCAGATGCTGTTGACTTAGCTCCGACTCATGGTGACCTCATGTATAGCAGAACGACATGTTACCTGGCCCTTCGCCATCCTCACCATCATCGCTGGCGCCATCCGTGGGTGCCATCCATTTCATGGAGAATTTCTCTCATTTTTGCCGGCCCTCTCCTTGACCAAGCACAATGCCCTTCTCCAGCCAGTAGGCTCTCCTGATGATGTGCCCAAAGAAAGCAGGATGGTCTCTCCCCACCCTCGCTCTCAGGAGGGTGTGCTGCTGGCTGCACTTGCTCCACTGCGGTGCATGTTCTTTTATTTTGGCAGATACGGAATGGGAGGCGATGAATAATGGAGAAATTAGCCCCTGTCACACAGCCAGTAATGGGTGGCGCAGGCACGTACACTCAGGCCGCTGGCCCCTGAGTCTATTTTCCCGTGCGCCTGAGGCACTGCCTCTCCCAAGGTAGGAGTACGGGCAATGCAGATGATCATGTGGAGCAGGATGATCACCGTGGCTCAGGGTGAACTCTGCTGACATGGCCGCTTCACGGGCAGTAACCAAGGTTTTCTTATTTTGTGCCATCCCCTAGCAAAGGTTTAGGCTGAGCTTTCAAAAATATGCTAGTGATGGGCTTTAACTTGACAAGGACAACCATAATATCCTCACTCCTCACTTCCTGATCTAGCGAGGTTCCAACCTACTGCCATTGAGTTAATTCCAAGTCATAGCAGCCCCATTGGACAGAGAACTACACCGTAGGGTTTCTGAGATCGTAACTCTCTATGGGAATGGGCAGACTGATTTTTCTCCTCTGAAGTGCCTAGTGGGTCTAAATCACTGAACTTGTGATTAGCATCCTAAAGCTCAATCTACTACACCCTCCAGGGCTGCTCTAGATCATTATGTGAAAATTGGTGTCATGTGAAAATGTTTTTTAAAAATGGCAGATGACTACATCATCACAAAACTTCCAAATGACATCACTGTGTAACTGCCAAATGACATCACTGTGTAACTGCCAAACCACTAAGAAAACTTGGCCCAGGCAAGTTGACACATAACTATAATTATTGTAGCTATCATTACTCGCTTCTTGCACTTCAGCGCTCACGCGTTACTGCCAGACATAAGTGAAAAATCATCAAGAGCAGATTTTTTCTATTGTTTTAAATGCAAAATGGCAGATAACGAGATGGCTGATAAGCGAGGAGTAGGTATAACGAGGATTTATTTCTCACATGACCAGGTGTTGTCCACACTACATCAGATATGTTATTCCACTGAATGCTTGCAGCAAAGGCAGGATTTCCTTCCCCAAGGTGACGAAGGTAATAAGTTGATGGGAACATTCCCCTACCCTTGCTAAGCAGTAGCCTGCAGTTTGGATTTTCTGTGAGAAGAAGAACAAGGTAAGCCGCAGCCTCTATCGCTGGGATAGAGAGAGTGTGACTTAGAGTGAGGACAAGCCTGACCCCTCCAATGACTCACTGTGTGAACACGGACAAGCGTCCAACTTCTCCACGGAGTGCCTTGCCCACCAGGTAAATATGTTGCGGTCACAGACCTTACTGTATAGGCTTATTAGAAAGCTCCAGCTAAAGAGCATGTTGGAAAGTGTTCTCAAAACTACTTTAGTGCACAGAATGCGGAGTAGACATTGCCGTCCCTGTCTGGTCGTTGTCCTCTCTGGTCTGTGGAGACAGGACGGCTGATCTCGAGAGTGCAAACACTTTAGAGGAACCATCTGGAAGTTGGAAGGTAAAAGTGCTGACAGCAGTCTTCAAATTTGTGTCCATTCGAGGCAATTCCCATCTAAATCGCAAAGGGATTCTCATCATGAGATGTAAGTAGAGTACTGCTGGGACTTCTCAGATGGGACTTCTCAGACGGCTGCTTCAAGGGCATGAGCTCCTGGGGTGGGGAGGGGTGGTGGTGCTTTGCCTTGTTCCTCCTCCTGACTGGAAAGCAGACATGATGAGCAGCCGTTGGGACCTTGCGGTGGCTTGGAGGCTGAGGTCATGGGTTACAGGGCAGCAAGACAGAAGCAGCTCCCGAATGCAGCTGCCATGCCACCGCCGGGCTGGTGACTTCCAGATTTCTTCGTACAAGAAGGAATCCATTCTTGGCGACTTCAGCCGCTGTCCTTTTGGGGTTTCCATGACACACAGCTGAGCTAATTCTCTCAGACTCATTCAGCGTGTGGAATTCTGGGAAGGCAGGCTGCTTCAGCAACTAGCCAGACCAGGACAAAGTTGCACACTCCCCCTCTGCTGGCTGATTGCGTAGGTAGAGCCAAGTGCGAAGAGTGAGGGCAAGGCTACAGTGGAGCTGGGAAGGAGGAGAGAGTGATGACTGAATGGCTGCAGGGAATGATCTCAACTGGAAAAAAGATGCTTTCACTTCCCTCTAAAAGAAACAACACACACACACACACACACACACACACACACACGACGAGGACACCCTCTTGAATGAGTAATCCATGTCTCCTCGCAGGAGTGCGCTGAAGCGAGTGGCTTGTCATTACCATGTCCCCACCCCCCACCTGGGTGACAGTACTCACGATGTCGCTGCCCGCTCCACACTGCACACTCAGCTCTGAACCTTGCAGGGTCTTCCAGGCGGCAGATCTGGGGAGATCCACTGCTAAAACCTGGAAGAATCATGGTGCCTCCTAAATATACCAGATGCAGTCTGAGGCAGGGCCCAAAGGACCTTTGCCAACAAACCACATTTGGTGTCACCTCTTTCCACGAGTTAGAATCATTCCAGGTTTAAAATGGCAACAGTTATAATAAAAAAAGGAGGATCATGGAATGGGTTATCTAGGAGGATGGAAAGGATTTCTGGAGGCTAAGTAGCTACCAGATGGTCTGCGTTTCTGGGCCCTTCCATTCCTGTCTGCCTAGGGGGGGGGGCGGTCCATGGAAGGTGGTATGTTGGGGGAATGGAGCCAAGGACAAGAGCAGGGAATCAAGTGCAGGCAAATGGCCTGCGGTGTTATGAATGGCCAGAGTTTGGGCTTTTGCTATTCTTGGACTCCATGAACTCACTGCTGGACAGGGCCAAAGGTCCTGGTTGAAGACCTCGAATGATAGGGCTGAAGCAAGACGTTCCATGCTCCCTATAGTTTCCCCTCTCTGATCCCAGTTGATCCCAGGTGACTAATCCATTCCTTGGAAATGCTGGAGTAGGGAGAGCAAGAGTTCATCTGGAGGAACTTGGGCACGGTTCCCAGGAGCCTTTTTTTTTGCCATATGAACTGGGAAAGATTAGAAGCTGATCTGCAGCACAAGGAAAGACTCAGGCTCTTCGGTATGGGTTAAAGGTTAAAGCAAAAAAAGGCAAAAGCCCAAGAAACAACCACACCTCCATGCCGCAGGGAACCCTGGGACTCTTGCTTTCTCTGTCCTGATGTGACCTGCAGGAGGCAGGTAGATGAGCAGTATCTCTTTCTGACAGAGAGATATTTAGGAAGGCTTGGGGCTATTTTCTCAAGGAGACTGAGCTTGGAGTGATGCATCTCCAAGCTAAGGAACACAGGGTCACCTGAAGCTAAGAAGTGGCCAGAAGGGATTGGTCGGAGGAGATTGGGTCCAGAGCGGTGAGAGAATATATTTCTGATGTTCTGAGCCCCCAGCTTGTGGCCACTTGCTATGGTGGTCCTAGGAGACTAATATTCCATGCACCGGTTTAATTTCTCTTGTTTTTGTTTGCCTGGAGGATGCGGCACTGGAGTCCCCTAATGGGGTCCATGGACTCTGGCCAGTTAGTGAGAGACACAGTTGGCATGGGATGCTCCACCCTCCCTCCCACCACAGTGTCTTGGTACCTTGGGGCTTTGTCATGCCTGGGGCATCCCTGCATTTGCTTAGGTGTGAAAACAAAGTACCTGGGAATCTCGTATCACGTGGAACTTCAGGTACTCCTTCAACTTGACCTTATTCTTTTGGTTGAAGAGGAAATCCTGTTGTTGAGGGGGTAGGGCTTGGAGAGCCTCGTCCGTGGGCAAGAAGAGTGTGATTGGGATGTGGATAGGATCAGTGATAAGACTCAGCAAGTCCGAGCCCTGAAACACAGGAAACAGCCCCCCATGGTGCATGCACAAATCACACAGCAGACCCTGCTATGTGGGTGGGTATTGCCAGCCATCTGAGGAAGACAGCGAGCCTTCCAACTGTGTCCTGGGCTTAGGGAAACTCAGCTGGTCCCCAAGTGACATGTCCAGAAACCAGGGCTCATTACACCCCAGCCATTCTGCCACATGCAAGCTTAGTAAGCGAAGGCCAAAAAATTCTGGCCTTTTGTTCGTATGAAAAGGAACATTAGCCAATCTCTCTTCTTTCCTATTAATCCTACCCAAATATTTTAATTTTTGTAGACCAGCTCCATATTTTTCGCATAGTTCATTAAAACAACAACAACAACAACAACAAAAATGCCCTCCCCCCCAATATTAAAGTGGGAACCTCAGGGGTACTGCTGGGTAACCATGGAACAGATAACGTAAGGTCAGAGGTTCACGTGTACCAGCCACTCCGCGGGAGAAAGATGAGGCTCCCTGCTCTCTGGAAAGATTGACAGCCTCGATAGAGGGCTTCTGTGAGTTGGAACGGACTCGACGGCTGGGGGTGGGATACAAGATTGCGATGCTCCTATATAGGTCAAGGATGTCTGCCTCATATGTCCCCAAACGAAATTGCCAGAGAAACGAGGAAGGATTATTTGAGAGCCTTTTATGGCCCAGGCGCATTGAACACATTCATTTTTCTTTTCATCTTTCTAGTAGTCTTATTAAGTTGACCTGATTTTCCCTTTTCATGAGACTCAAAGGAGTTTCCTAACTTTCCATGAAGCCTCCTGTATAACCAGCCCCTCGTGCACAAGTATCATCTCATAGCAACCCGTGTGTTTCCAAGATGGTACATCTTTATAGGAGTAGAAAGCCTGATCTTTTTCCCATGAAGAAGCTGGTGGTTTCAAACCGCTGACCTTGTGGTTTTCAGCCCAATGCGTAGTGTAGTCACACTAGGTCGCTATGAGCTGGAGTCAACCCAAGGGCAGTGAGTTTGGAAATCTGGAGTGGGAAGCTGTGGGCCTGACTGTCAGGTGTTGGAGTCGGGCGGTGGGTGGGCAAAGATGACCCCACTGTAATGTCCTTGGAGATTCTGATTTTGAGCACAGTGGGCTCTCCATTGTTAATATGCTTCCTAGGGAGTCTGAGACCCACACCATTGTGCGAACCACTGATCTAGTGGGGAGGGTTAGAGATTGTGCTTGGAGGCCCTCAAGGTTCTTAGAACCCTACAGAGACTTCTTGGTGTTTATTGAGGGGAAGGGAACATCTGGAGGGTCCTGGACCATCTCCTCCTGGATTCTCTTCTGCAATTTGGTGCGTGGCTGAGAAGTTATCTACTCAATTCATTTGAGACATTTTGGACGTCAGAACTATGTGCTTGTAGATTCTGGTTACCTGTCTCACAGCCATAGATTCCCTAACTCTACATCAGCTTCTCCACCTCGGTAATTGGAACTGAAAATCTCGTCTTCCCAGGCTCCTTGGCTGGAGCACTGCGTCATCAAGGGGAAGCACCTGGTAGAGGGGCCCGTCTGGTCCCTGCCTCACCACCCCAGATGCCTTGGAGAGCACAGGTGTGGGCCTGACCATAATGCCTTGGAGTTAGTTGGCCACGGCCAGTTACCTTTCTGCACAAACCACGCCAGTATTTTGAGTGTGGAGGAGAACAGAGGCTCCACTTTTCAGAATCTTGGGCTTTCTCATACTCATCCCATCGTAGTTGATTGGTGAGAAAAGGCAAAATCCCAAACAAAATGAAAACAATGGAAATAATAAACACAAACCTAACAAACGCAAAACTAAACCAAACCTACAAAACTTGAGGCAGGTAGTCTCTGAGTTAACTTTCCCTCATTTATATATATAAAACAAAATTCATACATTTTTACCTGTATTAAGTTGCTAAACATGGTGTAGCCATGGAGTTTTGCCACTGTTGTAAGATTTTGCTGCAAAGAAAATCAGAGTGGGAATGACTCCAATCCTCATCTTGTTCACAAAAAAAAAGCTCAACTGAGCAAAATACAGGCAAATAACACGCAGGTAGTGCAGATTGGCTTCTTAGCACCCACTCTACCACTGTTCCACCCACACTTTCTCTTTAATCAAGATTCCTATGATTTTTAAGCAATACTTCTTTGACTCTGCACTCATACTTCTATACTCATAATTATGGTATCTATGATCTACCTAACATCCATGCATCCATCCACCCATCTATCCATCTACCTTCCTATGTTCCTATCCTTCAAATTTATGCAAGATCATTTAGCCCTTGTGGATATTTAAAAAAATTCAATATCAGAAAACAGGCTTTTACTTATTTATTTTTTTCTGACAGTAATTTTACTAAGCTTTTAATGACAGCTTACGACCCAAACAGCAAGATTTAAATATCTCAAGTAAAGCCTAAAAACTAGAACTGATATAACATTGTATTTGGGGCCATTCCATGCTGGGGCTACAAGGGGGAGTTTACCCACCAGAATCCTTCCAGAGGCATCTTTGGGGGTGATGAGCAGGCTCTGGGGAGACAGCACTTTGTCTATGATGTGGATGATTCCGTTGGTAGTGATGACATCACTGGCTATGATCTTCGCCTTGTTATTTAAATACACTGTGCCCTGAGGTCATCCAGAAAGAGAAAAGAAGAGAAATGAGCACGCACTTGAGTGAGATAGGCATGCACTTGAATTGCTTCTTCCAGAGCACGGCACCAACAGGCTATATCATCATGAAAGTGAATAATATTTAAGGAAAAGAGTAGGATAAAACTCAATATCTAAGTAACCTGAGCATCTTATTTTTGGAGAGAGCAAGAGGGAAAGAGAGAGAGTGAGAGTGAGAGAGATGAACTTTTCACCCAGAGAGTGTAATAGTAAACAATCAATTGGAAATCAACCAGCTAATCAAATTAGGTTTCTCTTCAACACGTGTGCCTACCTCCCTCCACCAGTATTTCCCCGCTCTGCGATGAACTCCACAGCTGCCATGTGCTGCCCCATTTCATGACGGACAGGGCCAGCTTGGGCAAGAGACTTTGATTAAAAGCACTCCTCTCTCTCCAGCTTCTGACCAATGAGTGCTACCCAAATAGGCCCAGAGCCCCCCTGGAGCTGCCTTGCTTCTGAAGCAGAATTCCAGCTCTGATACTTACTCGCCCTGTGATCTTGGACAAGGTACTTAATTTCTCTGTGCTCGGTTTCCTAATTCATAAATTGGAATTGCAATAGAGGTTGTGTCGAGGATGAGATGAGTTAGTACAGATCCAGGCCTTAGAATAGCTGGTGTATAGAAATCATTCAACATGCCGTTGCTATTGTTGCTATCATTATTACTGAGACTACTCTAAGGGAGGGGGGCAGAGAGGGCCCAGGGGGTCTTGCTTACCTGAGAGACAGAGATGCCAATTGAGCCTCCTTGGAGAGAAGTTACATTTGGGGTCAATTTCAGGGTTTCCAGAAGCAGTTGGTTGCAGGAGAGCACATGATACCGAAGAACCTGGGGCATGACGCCTTGTGTGTTCCAGTCATTAACCTGTAACACATCAGAGGGCCCAGGAAGTGACCGTTGTTCCAACTCCCCCTGTGCTCTCCTCTGTTCATTCCCTCACCCCACCCAGAACCTGGGAGGCTTGCCGTCTAGGCCCTAGACTCTAGGGGACAGGCTAGGATGTCCAAAAGAGAGACAGTACGTAGCCTGAGTCCCCTTCCTTCTTCTATGGTTGAATCTCAATGTGGAGGTCACTTGGCGTTCTCTGGGCCAGCATTTCCCAACACTCCTTTGAAGGACCACAAATCTTATGAGATCCTACTAAAAAAAAAGTTTCTCTGTGACCTACGCTGGGAAACACTGTACAGTCACCTGGAGAGGGAGGTAGGGCCAAATTGAACCTTTACTGCAGGAAAGACCAGGATGCGTTTCCATGTGCCAATCAAACTACAAACAACATTAACCATAGAGCAAGTGTTATAAAAGCCCACAGAGTTTTCACTGTCTCCTGAAAACTCCTCTGTTGCTTCTTCAGTTTACAAACTACCCAATATAAAAAGTGTTCACAAATGAGTCTTGGCTCTTTGGTTTTTGCTGACATCCAGCATACATGCAGAGAGGGAGGATGTCTGCAGTGGCCAGGCACTCCGGTGCTGGAGCCAGGTTTGAGGCCTAGTCTACCAGCTGCTAGTCACGTGACCACGGGCCAGTTACTTCCATATCATCAACAGCAAAATAGGGGTAATAGTAGGTTGTCATGAGAACCAAATGGGTTCATCTAAACCCAACACTCAGCACAGGGCCTGGTATGCTGGATGAATGCCAGCTATTATTATTATTAATGAGTAATCCAGTAAGAACTGTCCCAATGAAGGCTAGCCCAGTAAAGACTCGGAGAAGTCCCTCAGAAAAGAATTGATTTAAATCCCATAAATCCTGGGATCTCTCTCTCTCTCATCTATAGGAGCTTTGGAATTACTGAAGGTCTCTAACTCACTACCCTAATCAGGAATGTCCTTTAGAGTATTTCTGGCCCGGGTTTCCCTGAACTCACTTGGAGGCTTGGCCCGACAGGCACTCTCTGTATCCGGCTACAGTCCATTTCGTGGGGGGTCATCTTCAGCCCATTACAAGTCGCCCAGGAAACGTCCCCAGCGTGAGTTTCAAAAGGAAGCCCAAAGAATGTGTTTCAGCCCAAACCTCCTCCTCCTGTCTACCGTCATCTGCTCACCTGGGCATCCTCTACAAAGGCTGACGATAAAGGTACGAAGACAGTGAAGGGGCCGGGATCCACCAGTTCTCGTACGGAATGCTCCTGGGAAGGAAAGTGAGGGGGCCCCATGCTATTTACTTAGCAGAGAGGCAGATGGGGCTCAACCACAACAGAGAGAGTAGGCTGCAGAACAGAGTGAGGCGTCTGTGAGGAGGCCTGGGTTTTCGCCTTGGGTTGAAGTTCCAACTCAGATTCTCTGCCATTGCAACAATTTTGTTTTTAGGCTAAAGAAGAAAATAACTACCCATAATCGTTCTATTCAGGAACACTGGTGGTGTAGGAGAATTATACGTTGAGCGGCTAACCACTGGACTAGCAGTTCAAACCCACCAGCCACTTCACAGGAGGAAGATGAGGCTCTCTGCTCCCATGAAGAGAGACCCTCTCAGAAACCCACGGGAGCAGTTCTGTCCTGGACTAGAGGGTTGCTCTGAGTAGGCATTGACTTGCGAGTGTGGTTCTTGAGTGTGGAAGGAAGCGACCTTGGAATTAACCCCTGGATGTTTAGATGTCCTTGTCCATTCACATAGAGCTATGATACATCCTTGGGATAGTACAACAATTATAATCAATACGGTTATTGCTTCTTCTAGTTTCTTGCTTCTATGAGTTTAGTCCTCTATTTTTTTTAATAGTTTCATCTCAGTAAAGGAGCCCTGGTGACACAGGGCTTACAGTGCTCGGCAATGCCTCTAACCCATCAGTCTCTCTGTGGTGGTCAGATGTGGCAGTAGGCATCCATAAGCTGATCATGAGGAGTTTAAGATCAAGAAGCTGTTCTAAAATGGATTGTGGTGATGATTGTGCAGCTCTTTTTAATATGATTGAACTATTGAATTGTGTGATCTAGACCAATCTAATGGCTTAGGAAATATTACCACCGTGGAAGCCCGATGGGGGGGCAGTTCTACTCTGTCCCGCAGTCTTCCAATGCCTTGTAATTCATTGGATGCCAATGGGCGTTCTTCAGCATACCTGCAATTTATTCAGATGCGCAAAAAGACCTAACGCCATACGTGTACCCGAAGACTTAACCATTGTGCCAGTAATGCTTCTTTCCCCCAGCAGGGTGATGGAAGTTTTACATGCTGCATTCTATAAGCTACATATGGTGTGATTAGCTGCTGTTGAATTGACCTCCAAGTCATGGTGACTCCACGCACGATGGAACAAACCAAGGCCTGTGCCGTGCCACGCCCATCATCAGTGTAGGTCAGACAAGGCTTGGTTGCAATCCATAGGGTGTCCATTGGCTGATGTGCAGAAGCAGAGCCCTAGACTTTTCTTCCTCATCTGTCGTAGTCTTGAAGCTCCACGTTGCCTGTTCGACATCATAGCCACGCTCACGCCTCCAGTGACAGAAAAGCAGTGGCTGTACAACAGGAGCACTGGCCAGAATTGGAACCTGGATCTGCCGCATGGGGTGAGGATTCTACCACTGAACCTACGCATGCTACTATGGGGCCAGTGCAGCACCGTCCCTCTCAAGCTGCCCACCTGAGCCCGAGAGATGACGTCTACAAACGATCAACAAGAGGCCCATTCCAGGAATCCAAGTCTCCAGATTTTCTCTTAGCCCACCAACTCTCGAGGCAACAGGTTCATACTCTATCTGGCTTGGGACCCAACTCCTCCAACTAGGCAACGTGCACATGCTTACCTGCAGCTGGAAGTAATACTGGGACGTTTTGGGGTCCTTTGGCAGCTCCTGAAAACAAAGACAGTAGCCTCATTCACTGCCTGCGAATTTAGCACATTGTCAGGATGCTGTCTCAAAAGTCATGAATCTCTGCCTTCTCCCTTCTGCTGGGAATCTGCAAAAATGGGTCTTGCTGAAGTTTCACCATAAGGCTAACAATGGGATGTTCGGCATGGCTACCGGCACACTGGGAGCTGCAGACCCTTTCTGGACTTTCCATCTGGTTTATCCCAGAAAGGCCCAACCATTTCCAGAAGCTTCTGAGCTTTGAGAGTATTTTTACAAGTTCAAGTACTTAAAAATTCATTTGTAAGTTTTAAGGCAGCATTGATTACTGGGTTAAATCCTTCTTGATGCCAATGCACAAAAGGGTGACTTTCTAATAGGCAGAAACTTGCAACTGTTCTTAGACTGCCTTACCTTTCCTGTGCAATGGATGGGTATATCTTTTACGTGCTTTATCTCACTCATATCGTCACCTGACGATGCTGGTACCATCAGTATCCTCTTAGAGATTAGAAAACGGGACCATTAAGGGTGATGAGGAGTTTGGCCCAAAGCCACAAAGTTACTAAGTGACAGAGCTGAATTCAAACTTAGCTGTTTCTGGCTTCAAAATCCATCCACCTTAATCACTATGTGACACACTGGTAGGTCACTTTTTTTTTTTCATTGCCAATTTATATTCAAGTGGCCTTTCACTTTTTAAGAGCGTTTACCTTTCACAAAGCTTGTACACATTCCTCAGCTGCTCGGGCGCTCAGGACGGTCAGAAAGGGGGCTGACTTTAGGGGAACGCCGTGCTTTACCTGGTAAATGTTGCCGCGGCAGGTGAATCCATCCCCAATGTAGTTTGGCTTGCAGGTGCAGGGCCTTTCACGGTCTCCGGTGTGGTTGCAGACAGCAAAGGCACTACAGCCGCCATTGTTCTGGTGACATGGGACCCCATGGGAGATCAGACCCGTTCGTTTACCCAAGCTGTGCAAGTATTGCTAAGGCAGCTTAGCACTGCCATGTGCGTCTTGTCTCACTTTCTATCCTTGACTGACTTGCTTTATCTGCCCCTTTTCTGAAGTTCATCCAATTCCTGGTGGGGATAGAAGTCACCCTACTCTTCTTGCCTTACTTCTCAGGAGGATAGGTCATAGGAATACTCCAAACACCCAACTCACTGCCACTCATTCGGACTCACGGCGACGCTACAGGGCAGGATAGAACTACCCCTGTGAGTTTCTGAGACTGTAACTCTTTACAGGAGTAGGAAGCCTCATTGTTCTCCTATAGAACTATCCCTGTGAGTTTCTGAGACTGTAACTCTTTACAGGAGTAGGAAGCCTCATTGTTCTCCTATAGAACTATCCCTGTGAGTTTCTGAGACTGTAACTCTTTACAGGAGTAGGAAGCCTCATTGTTCTCCTATAGAGTTAACTATAAGCTGACCTTATAGTTAGTAGCCCAATCCATAAACACGTCACCACCGGGGCTCCCCATGAATAAACCCAGAGCTGCCAAATGACAGTTTCTTAGTATCTGGGAGTTGATTTTTGAAAACACCAGTTTTGTTTGCCACTTGTCAGCATTCAGCCAAACTCTGATCCCATCCCTGGAAAGAACACAATAATCAGCTGAAAAGCCAATCATTTGCCATGGGGTCAGCTCTGAAGCCTTGTGACCCCATGACTTTTAGAGGGTCCTCGGTGGCTGATTTTTCAGAAGTAGATGGCCAGACATCTCTTGCTAGGTGCACTGGGTGCCCCCCAACGCTCAGCCTTATGGTTAGCAGCGAAGCATGTGTATCCTTTGCACCTTCAGGGAGTTCTCCCACAAGAGGGTGGGTTCTAGATCTCATCACTTTTGAGTTACCCAAAGGACAGAGCGGGCACAGACAGCAGGCACAGAAAGAAGAGGACGGAAGATGGTGGAGTGGGATTGCTGGCCACTATGGGAAGCTGAAATAGACTCTACTTTCCTCGAGAGCCACACTCTGACTTCAGACGCCTGACCTCCTCAAACCTCAGAAAAGGAACATCTGTTCTTTAAGCCCGTGGCACCCGTGTCCTGGTGGCACGTGGTAACAAAGACACCTCTACAGTGTCGTCAAGGTCAGGGGCTGGGATTGGGTTTTTCTTGTGGTACACTGCCATTTCCAAACCATTTATACTCTCAGTCTTTAAAAGGCCCTGCCCCTTTGAAGTGTGTGGTCATGGCCACCTGCCACCTGCCCTTCTTCCTGTGTCTTAACAGACGTACCTGGATCACTGCTTTGCCCTCTAGTATCACACCAGGCATCATCCTGGACCAATTCTAGAGCCCTGCTCCTGATCTTTCCTGTACCTGATCTCTCACTCCCTGTTGTAATCTGTGCTTTGACCTCCCCCGCATTCTCCCTGGGACACGCCCACATGCTGTGATGGCACTCAAGCGGACCCCTATGGAAAATCTCTATCTCAGCATCCGGTTCTCTTTGACCACCACCACCTATCATTCTAACACTCTGCCTCCATCCCCGCCCCTCCCCCATCCTCTCCTTTTCTCATCCACACCTCGCCACTTGGTCCTCACTTGGTGTTAGCACAACCCAGATGGCAAGGCAGAGCCCTGAGGTTCCTGCCTCCGTCTCTCTCCCTCTATCACAACAGCTGGCCCAATCTTAGCCCGCCTGGGCCTGCTCTCTGACCCTTCTGTATCTGCCAAGCATGGGGCACGTGCCTTGAGTTGCCTGATCTCCCTTTAAAGCTATGCTACTCTACTGAGCGACCGTTGGCATCCTGGCTCTGCATCCTGGCTCTGCGGCTTTGGTGAGATGTGTCCAACAGACATAACAATAGTCACTGCCTTATAGGATTACTGTGGGGATGGAATGAGCTGCTAGCACGTTCATGTCGCTCTCTCTGGAGAAGGCCTTTGCCTCTTTGCTCAACTCTCAGTCACAGCAGCCCCCAGGCTCCCCACTCTGAACTGATGAGCTCAACTTGTGTTTCTAGAAAGAGATTGGAAAGTAACATGTTGTGATTATCTCTTTCTGGATGGCTCTAACAGTGTACCTCGAATGAAGTGCGAATCTGTTTTCTTGCATTGCCTGTTCACTAAGCCTAGTTCTGAGTGAGCCCTGGTGGCACAGTGGGTTAAGCATCAGGCTGCTCACCATAAGGTCAGCAGCTCAAACCTACCAGCTGCTCCGGGGGAGAAGGATGAGGGTGTTTGCTTCTGTAACGATTTTACAGCAGTGCACACCTGGTGGGACTAGTTCTAGCCGCCCTAATGGGCCGCCTGGAGTCAGAACGGACTGAAAGGCAGTGAGTTTTTTCTTTATGTTTTTTTGTTTAGTCCTAGTTCAATGCTTGGGCTCACACAGAACAAAAATGGCCCCTTTGGTCCTTAAAATGTAAATGGGTCACCTCCAGTTCCTACAGTCAAGAGGCCAGGCTGGGAGCCATTGAACTTCCTTTTTTCCCCTTCCCAACATTACAATGGTTGTAATGGTCCAGAAGCAGCTCTGAAGCCACCCAAATGATAGCACCCTCACCCCTCCCAGCGTGGTACTCACGGTCAGGCAGATGTTGATAAGCGTGCAGGTCTTGCCGTCTCCCGTGTATGTCGGCAAACAGTTACACACCGCCTGTCCAGGAGCAGAAGACAGCAGGGTTAGTGACACGGATGGAATTCTGAACTGGCTCTCAGGCTCGAATTCTAAACTGGAATTAGTTGAATATTCCTTGCTTGGCATTGGTAATATCTATTTCCCTCCATTGTCTTTTACTTTCTCCTACTGCAGTATCTTGTCGCTTGGAAGCTCTACCACTAGTATTTCAAATGCCAGCAGAGCTACCCATGGTGGACAGGTCTCAGGAAGACTTCCAGACCAACATAGACTAGGAAGAAAGCCCTGGTGATCTAGTGCCAAAAATTAGTCAATGGAAAACCACATGGATTATGCCAGAACAATTTCTGACTAGCCCTTGCCTTGGCTATGCCCTCGGGAGGGGAGGGATGAATCACTGGGAGAGGACATCACGTTTGGTGAAGTAGAGGGCCAGGGACAGTAAGGGAGACCCTTGGTGAGATGGTTGGGTACAGTAGCCACAACGATGGACTTGAACATGCGGCGAATATGAGGATGATGTGGGACTGGGTAGCGTTTTGTTCTGTGGTCCACAGTGCCACCACAGAGGGAGCCGAGTTGGGGGCAGCTGACAAACGTGGCAACATCTTCTTGATGACAAATGCCATTCTTGCACCTTGGACACTCTTTAGCACTAAGGTCCCATCCATAGCCTATCTTTGCTACCATCTTGAGTTTTTCTTTTTTAACAACATCTTATTTGGTCTTCTGCCTTGTCGGCACTGGTCTCTTCTCTTGCTCTGATTGGTGAAGGGTCAGTTGAAAGGAGGCTGCATCCTGTCCCATCCTTTCTTGTTCATCTCCACCCTCTGCCCTGCCCACAGGCACCAAGGCCAAGAGATACTCAAAGTGGGCTTTGAAAGCAAAGTTGTTGCATAAAATGGGGGGAGGGATTTAGTTAAACCCATGGTTTGGTCAAGGAAGTCATCGGGGAGGGGAGGATGTTGAGGGTGGAGCCATTGTTTGAAGGAAGAAGTAGACAGGACCCCCAGGTCATTTTTGCAGGCCATACACTCACTCATGGGGAAGGCGGAAGGAGTGGGATTGAAACCCAGCCACACACTGTTCCTTGAGCTGTGTGCCCAGAAGGGGCCCCGCTCCAAATGTTTTATCCTGAATGCCCTCTGGTCTGATGTCTTCCTTCGTATTAGAACTTGAATTCATTGATGAGGTCAGGCATGGTCAACTGTCAAATCATACATTGTCCCTTGTCCTTCACAAAGGGCCTCGACCTCAGCTTAAAAAACGGAGAGAAAGGGAGCTTGTCTGGGAAGTTTCTAGATGCTCCTGAAATCATGTGAGTTAGGAAATGTCTGCTTTTCCCTACTCTAAAGCAGTCCCATCTTCTGGTGCCCCTAATCCCTCATTTCTCCTCATTCCCAAATGACAGCCTCCCATCCTTTCAGGATGTCCTGTAAAGCATTTATTTCCTGGAAGATCTACTTCTGAAAACCAGTCACACCCATTAGTCATATGATCCCATCCTGAGCAGCAGGGCGAGAGTGCAGGGCTGGGCAGAGTTTTGTACTGTTGTGCGTGGGGTGACTGTGGATTAGGGGGACAGCTAACAACAATAACAACCACAACAGCTGCAGCAACAACTTTTATTTCCCACTGCTGTTCCCAGCTGCCTGTCTCAGCCCCTTCCCCTTAGGGCTGTGTCTAAAGACCCCAGCACTTGCTCTTCCCTCCAGGGAAGACTTCGGGGCCCCGGCAGGCAGAGCTCACCTGGTTGGGTCCTGTCTGTGTGCACTCTGCATTCCTGTCACAACCACCATGGTTCTCCAAACATGGATTAATTTCTGTAAAACAAAAACCAATATCTGGCCTGAGGACCAGGCCTAACACTTACAAGAGAAGGCATGTTGAGTGAGCAGCATGATCAGCTGACTGAGGGCACCCGATGTCAACAGTGTGCCTTGAGGTGGAGGGTGCCAGATACCGTTGCTTAAAAGAACCCCCCTCTGAGACCGGCTAGCCCCCCTCTGTGTTTGCAGTCTTCTGCCTTCAGCAAGGGTGGCCTGTTGGATGGTCTCTATCAACTTTCCCAAATTTAATGTTGATGTCCTTTTATTTAATTATCATTTGTAGTCATATATATACACATGTACATATATCTCAAATGAATTAAGCAAGTTGCAGGATAGAAGATCAACATACAAAAATCAGTTGTAAATCAAGCAAACAAAATGTTACAAGAGGTGACCCTAGATCAAGGGCATACGGATCTTCGCTGTACTAGGTTTTCAACTTTCCTTAAAAATTGTTTTCTTATGATGTATTTTCATATTTTCTTCAGTGTAATAGTTTTAAAGTTATGCTTGCCACATTCAGGTCTTTAATCCATGTGGAAGTAATAATTTTAAAAAAAAGCCTTTTATTGTGAACATTTACAGAGCAGATCATCAGTTTTCCACCCCACAACCCATACCCATTGACCGTCATCCCTCGCGGTGCAATCCCTCTGGGTGCCATGTCCCATCCTCCTTGCTCCCGTGTCTCCTGCTTCCAGACCTCCTTCCTTTGCCAACCCTTTGGACAAGCACTGCCTTGTTGGTCACGAAAGGCTGAGGATTCGTACATGGGGTGAGGTCAGTTCCAGACCTGACAAGATCCGAGCATAATCTCAGGGTGTTTAGCTTTCCTGGGTAATTTTGTTCCAACTAGAATGTTAAAACAATTCAGACAGCGTATGCTGTGCCTTTGGAGCAGACAAGTGTGCTGCCCCTCTGTGATATTGCGAAGCATAGTCAACACTATATGTCAAGAGACCCTCCCATTGTTGTCTTACAAAATCCAATGTTTGCCTCGCAAAATAGCAGTGTTATCACAGTAAGAGTGGTCATGACCAGAATTTTGTCCCAAGAACAGGCACATTTTCTCTACAATAAGAATGTGCTACTGTGTGTGTGTGTGTAAAAGAAGTAGTAAAAGTTAGAAGAGTCAGTCACCCAAGAATGCTTGACTGGAAAGTCATTTCTGGCACCCCCACACCTGGAGTCACACTTTCCCACCAGCATGACTTCCAGGTGGCCCTGGAAACTGCATGCGACAAGACAAGCTCACAGGGTCTAGTGGTTCAACAGCTCTCGGGCCCTCCCCCACTGGCATTCGACAGGTGAGGAGCGGCACCTACCTAAGCACACGATGCCATCGCCAGTGTAGCCCGCCTTGCACACGCACAGCCGGCTTCCGGGGATGGTTCTCTTACAATAGGCCTTGGCAGAACAGCCTCCGTTGCTGACCTCACAGGCATTGATTGCTACAGGCAGGAGAGGGGACACAGAGCCGAGGAGGGGCAGCAGGACACAACAACACAAGGATGCATTTTTAGTTGGCTCACCAAGAAATGCAGAACGCCAAGATTACCAGGCTCCACATCCAGAGGGAGACTCCCGTACTTCAGTGGCAAATCCTCCCCTTCCCTGCTAGGCACGTGGCTTAAATTCTTAGCCTACGCACCTGGTGCACGGCACCACAGTACGACAGTAAACACACGCTACCAGGCAGTGGTCTAGCCAATCAAATCAGAATCCCCCGGGTGCTCTTTACTGGTTCTTAAAGCACCCTGTGCAGACGTCAGAAATAGTTACGTGCTCATTGACAAGTCAAAGAAGACTGCCCGTTAGAACCCACTCAGAGGTGCCTCGGAAGGCGGGCCTGGTGACCTGCTTGGGAAAGGCGGCAGCCATTGCTCACCCTCCGGAGCAGTTCTGTTTTGTATACACAGGTCGCCTTGAGTAGCAACGGACTCCAGGGCAGCCCAACACTCACAGGTGCTGCCAGTGGCCGTCCAGGTGGTGAGCTGTGGCTGAATGCAAACAGGGACCATCGCCGCACCCATTCCAAAACGAACACGTTCCATGAGCCAGCAGTTAATGTCTGACCCCGAGGTTCAGTCGGCAGCCCTCTGACCTCCGATTCCCCATGGCTGGTGGGGACCAGCTGCGGAGGGACCCAGATCTCTGTGCATAGCCCCCGTAGACCTAGAACCACCTCCCTCCACCCACCCCTCCTGGGCTCCCCTCGTCCCTTACCTGTGCAGGCCGTGCCGTTCCCTTGGAAACCGGCTGCACACTTGCAGAAGGCGGTGCCGTTGGAAAGGAGAAGACAGCTGAAACGAGAATCCGGCAAACGATGGCTGTGGAAAAGCCCATCACCTCACACCCCAGTAGGCCTTCATCCCATTGGCCCAAACTCCCAGTCTCTGACCCCAGCAGCACTTAGGAAGCCTGCTTAAGGTTTGGGAGGAGAGGCCATTCTTCGCAAGGTGCCCAGAAGGCCCCCAAATGGCACAACCTGATGAGCGGGCCGCACAGTGTGTCTGAGTAGGTGGTAGCCAAGGTATAAGAAGGGGAGCTACTGATTTGCGGAGAAGTTCCTGTGTCCTAGGGACTGGGCTTTACTTCATGGGATCTCCCCCCTCTCCAGTCACTGAGAGCCCTGGTGGTGTAGTGGTTACACACTGGGCTGCCAACAGCAAGGTCAGCAGTTCGAAACCACCTGCGACTCCCTGGGTGAAAGATGGTGCTTTCTACTCCCATGAAGAGGTACAGTCTCAGAAACCCACAGGGGCAATTCTACCCTGTGCTCCAGGGGGGCTATGTATCAGAATCGACTGAAGGCAGGGAGCGAGTAGGCAGTACAGAGTACCATTTCCTCTTGGAGTCTTTGGGTGGTTCAAACAGTTCACGTGCTTGCTGTTCACCAAAGTCTTGGTGGTGTGAGTTCACCCAGGAGCATCTCAGAAGAAAGGCCTGGTGAGTAAGGTGACCAGACGTTCCGCTTTTGGCGGGACAGTCCCGATTTTTAACAATTTGTCCCGCATCCCACCGTGTTTTTAAAAGTCCAGATTTTTGGAAAGAATGCACAACAAGCTAGGGTATATGGTTTATGGCTGCCATGTGGCTATTTTGCCAGGATATGAGTTTTATCAATGGTGTCCCGCTTTACCAATGTTAAAATCTGATCACCTTACTGGTGAGCCACTTCTGAAATATCAGCCGCTGAACATGTGGCAGGACAGACTTCTACCCCGATACACCATGAGTCAGAATCAACTCAATGGCAGGAGGTGGTGGGGGAGCAGTCCCACTTCCTGGTGAAGAATGGAGGCCATGAATAATGACGCAATGGACCCTGGGTCACACTCCTAAAACCAGCTCAGTGCCAGCTAGGCGATTCCGACTCATCGTGACCCTATAGGACGGGGTAGCACTGCCCCCGGGGGTGTTTTTGAGACTATAATTCTTGATGAGAGTAGAATGTCTCATCTTTCTCCCAAGGATCAACTGGTGGTTTTGAACTGCTCACCTTGTGGTTCACAGTCCAATGTGTAACCTGCCAAGGCCTCCTCAGTCAGTGGAAATTACACAGGCTGATATTTAATTGAGGTTTCCCATGAAACACCACCTTAAGCACTCATGGGGATGGGAGCGTGAACATGGGCTTGGCTGTGGCTCAGGAGCAAAGGTTGGATGACAGGAGGCCCAGTGGGCTCCCTCTATTGCAGCAAGTGTCCCTGCGGCTTCAGGTAGAGTGTGAACTGACTCTTTTTGCCAATGTGCTGGGTCATGGCGCAGGCAACTTGTTGAAAGGGTGGAATCGGCAAGTTGATGATGGCTTCTTCCTAGAGATGGTTAGTCTCATTCATAAAAATTTACCTGAACATCTGGTACATAGCATCAGGAAACGGCATCCTTAAAGTTTGGATTGTGGATCTGAAACCGCTGAGAAGGAATCCCTTTACCTATCCCCAAAAGGAGGCCCCGAGAGTACCTACTTGGCACTGGTGTGGCATGCCGCATTGCAGTTGTCTTTCGTGATCTCTGAAAAAGAGAACCAGTTGTGGTGTTGGCCTACCTTGGCTACACCCCACTGGAGAACTATCTTGCAGTACTTGGTGCTAGGAAAAGACGTACTTCCTCCGAAGAAACTGGCTCTCATCATACAAACTGTGTAAGTAACCATATGAACCTTTCTCAACATTGGCTGCCAGGGTACTCAGAGTCAATTCTGAAGGTCAAGTACAGCTCGACAACAGTTTAGGAACTGCTGAAGTCTGTTCTGGATACGAGGTCTTGTGCTAGGGAATGAGGTGGCCAAGAGGCTGATATGTAGCATCCTCCCTCTCACGCGAGCACGAGTCCTTCATGCTTAGAGGTGGATGTGCGTCCCTTCTCAGGGTTCGGCTTTCTACTGTTGCTTGTATTTTCGCTCCTTATTATTTCTAATTTCTTTCGGACATTTTATTATGGCAGTGACACCAACAGGCAAAGGGAAATGACGACGAATGTTGATGTATGTCTTTTAGATGTGCAATTATAGCCCACACAACAAGAACACACATCTATTTGTTGAGTTAATTCTGAATTTCCTGGAGGAAATATAGTCTTGATTCTGGAGAGCCAGCTAACAGGTAACTCCTGGCAGGGAAGAGCCAGGAAGAAATCACTAGAAATAGGCCCTTTGGGCAGCATGTATGTGGTAAGAACTTTTGGCATCAGCTCTGGTTAAGTTGTGCCGAAGGATCTGAGACACAGACCTGGTCAGGACAGGTGACTGTTTTGTGTCCGAGGAAGCAGGTCTAGGCTCACGGTGGCCTTCAGTGGGTACAGTTGAATTTGTTGCTTCATTGTGTTCTTCCTCAAGCCTGGTAAATCCCTTTCTTTCCACCTGCTACTGATGGAAACCTCTATTATCTTTTAGGTCCTCCTTTCTGGAACCTGCTCTGAATTTCAGTTACTTGGTAGTGACTTCCTGGTGTGTTCTGTTGAGCAAGATTTGGTGCTCCTATCTGGCCTCAGAGGGAAAGCAGAAATGATTGATTAGTGATGTCTGTCATGGGCTCAGGCATAGAGAGTTAACTCGTGGGCAAAGAAGTTGTTTTCCTTGCTCTAATCTAGAGACGTTTTATTTTGTACTCCCATGTGACTATTATCCTGTTTTCTTTTCTCTATTTGATCGAACATTTATTTCCATGGCCTTCCTTTGCAAGTCTTTGTTTACACTTATTACTAGACTAAAGGTTCCTTGGATAGAGGTACATCGAAGATAGACTAGTGATAAAGTTGGAAAAGTGGGTGAGTGCACATTGGTGAGTAGTTTTGTACCCTACTAAGGAATTTGAAGCTTCTCCTGTAGGCAATAAAGAGCATTAGTAAGCATTCAAGTCCTGGGGAGGGAGTGGAAACATTTTACATATGTTCTGGAAAGTTGTACCCGATGTCAATGTGGAGGACAGAATATGGGACGTAGGATTGGAGACCAAGGATCGGCCAATTGACCCCAGCTGAGAGGGGAGCAGGAGGCAGGGGGATACATTTGAGAGAGGTGGACGTGGTAGAATTAGCTATGGCAGTGAGAGAAAGGGAGTCCTTGGTAGATGAATGGGTGAGTTCTAGATCAGGTGAAGAGGTGGGTGGGGGATGGGGTTTTTCTTTATGGTAGGAAAATCAGGAGGTGAGTTTTATTCAGTATGCTGTCTTCCTCTGCATGGAGTGAACCTTATATATATCTGTTTATTCTCAGAGGTCTCTGACATTTATGCCATTAGCCTTGACTTCACTCTGGAGCCTTGTGTCCACAAATTCAGCTGTGAGTGACTGAGTACCTGTCAGCATCTCTGCTGAGGGCAGGGACCGGAGCATGTGCACTGCAATGTTCTTAGCAGAGTGCCTGACACATAGTGGTTGCTCAGCCAAGTATCTGTTGAATGAGGCGATAAGGTCTCCTAACCATTTCTATCTAGATTTCACTGGTACCTCAAACTGAGCTACCCCCACCAGTCTTCTTCCAAAATTGGTCTACCACCCATGGGGTTGCTCAAGTCATAATCTCAGTGTCATCCTGAGCCCCCTCCTCCCTTTTCCTTTCTTTCTGCAGATAATCATGCCAGTGACTTTACCTCACTGTGCAACCGTTTCTTTCTTTTCTCCACCACAGTCCTGCCAGTGACTTAGACTTTCAATTGTCTCTTGAAAACTTGTCACTGCTTCTAGACAGTTCCTTGTCACTTTGTGTGCTCAGTCCTCCCATGGGTGATGTTCTTAGAAGGTCCTAAGTCATAGCCAGTGGTAATACATTTGTATCTATGATAGAGATTTATACTCCATGTCCTGTTTACATGACTCGATTGCTTCTTCCACATCTCTCCCAGGCTCTCTGGACCCTGGCTCTGTGCACTAGCATTTGAACCTGCCCTGGGTGGCCTGATTGGCTTGGAACTGCTCAGATTTCTGACTGCAGCTTGTCAGCCAACTCTTCATTCTACATTCTCTTGATTTCAGAAATGAACTTGGACCTTTGCTCAAAGACACTCCTTTGCAACACCCTACTCTCTCCCTGGGCTGATGGACATCTTTGATTCTTTCTTTGGTCTCCTTCCCAGAGAAGGTTAAGTTCTGCTGCTTCTATAACTTCTGATAACTGCTTCCAGAGGTATTTTCTCATATCCAGTGTCTGAACGAGTTTTATGAAATGCAAATATGAGCATATTTCTCACCTGTTGAAGACCTTTCAATAGCTTCCTGCTGGCTTTGGAGGAAGGCTCCATTCCTTAGAGGTTCACGAGCTGGCTCCTGCTCACCACACTAGCTGTGTCCCATTCAACTTCCCCCTTTGCTCTCTATGTTTTCACTCTGAAATCCTTGTGCCCTAAGTGCACAGAGGGGGCGCATCGTGCTGTGCCAGTCTGTGTGCTTTGTTTGACCTGACATTCACTTCTCCCTCATTGCTCTCACCTAGAGCTGTGAAGAAACATCAATGAAGTACAGTGGGCATATGAGACATGGGCCTGCTGCTGCTGGATAAGCAAATTGATAGAATCCATGGAAGAGAACTGGGCAATCAATAGCAAAATCTTCCCACCGAGTGTCAACTTCTGACTCAGAAATTCCATCTCCAGGAATTTAGCTCCGTGAAGCATTAAGACAGAGGCCTCAGATACAAAAAGGTGTATATTATACAAGATGTTCACTGCAGTGCTGTTTATGACAGCAGGGAATTGATTTGGAAAGTGGTGTAAGAAAGGAGATTAAGGCATTCCATTCATCTAAAGGAATTTCATGCACCAATTTAAAAAAATCATGATGTATTATTCCATATGCATGCACATGGAAGATGTCCCATGATATATTATGATGTGAAAAAAGTGGGTTACAAAGCACCCTGTAGAAGACAATTCCATACCTACATACTTCAGTGCCCAGAACGGAGTTGGAAGGTTAATCCAAAATACTAATAAGTACAGTTTCTTACCTTGGGAGGATAAGCTCTTTTAATTTTTTTTCATTTTCTTTCTTTTTCAAACTTTTGGCTGTAAGGAGGAATTCGTTTTATTTCCAGAAGCAGTAATGAAGATGTTGTTTCCATTTGCGAAAGAAGAAAAACTACTGTAACTATTGAAAAACGAGACCCAGGATGGGGTCATTCTTACCACTGTCGCATCGCACTCCCCGCCAGCCAACATCACAGTCACAGGAGCCGTCGCCCGAGGGCCCTTGGCTGCATCTCCCATGGACACAAGAACACGCTAAGGAGACAAATGCCCACAAATCATTGAACTCTGACCATGTACTCATTTACCATGTACTACAAAGGTTCACTTCACTGCACTTAATTCCTGATGCCTTAAAGTCATTGTGGGAAACTGAGGACCGGGAAGAGAGTGGATGTGGACAAATTCTTTATTCTCATATTTAAGAAGCTTCAGAGGCCAGAGTTCTGGGTGAGGGGAGGCCTTCTCACTTGTGAGTTATTATAAGGAGGAGACCATGGAGGAGGTGAGCATCCCAAACTATTGTCTGTCTATTTTTCCCTTCAATTACACAACTGCCCCTTAAGACCCATCGGATGTGGGCTGGATCCCACAGTTGTCTCCAATGGAGGACTAGACTCCCAAGAAGGGCAATGCATGGTTAGTAGACTTTAGTAGATTGGTAACAGGTGAACCAAGTCATGCATGATCAGTACCATTCAGATCACAGCTTGGGGGCTTAGTAGTAGATGAATTAGTGACCCAAGCAGCCGTGTCCTCCACTATGGTCATCCGAGGACCAAAGGTTAGGTGAGATCTCTTTGGATGGGACCACATGTGTTCCTTAAGGGTAGACTCAAAGAGAAGCCAACTTGATGTGGATTTATATCAACTTGAAGGACTGATGCCTTTGTTACTCAGCAGGGTCACATTTTTGAGAAGTGGATGGATGCTATGGATACATTTGTCCAAAAAGCATCCAGTCTTGGAACTTTCCAGGATCTCATGAAGCTCATCCACGTGGCCCTGGTTAGGAAACCCACTTGCCAATCATAGCAGATAATTCGTCCATATCCCAGGGAAAAAAGTGCCACTATAATAGTCTCAGTTATATGCTAATCTTGTTTAACTTGAACCAGCTGATGAGAACACAGTGACAGCAGGTCAAGTTTATGGTTTCTAGTGCCAGGTAGGAGGTTGAAAGCTTTATCTTCACGAACTAAGAAACCCCTCCACTCCAGTCAATTCTTCCATAGGCATGTGTCCATGGGAAATAGGAAGTTTTGGTAGAGAGTGGCAATGACTTGGTGAAAATGGGTCCCTATTTCTGGAAAAGCAACTTAAAACATGTGGCTTGATGATGGCAAATCTATAAAAAACTCAAAGCCAAGCTCACTTCCATCAGGCTGAAGCCAGCTCATAGCAACCCTATAGGACAGGGTGGAACTGCCCCTGTGTGTCCCACACTGTGGTGCTTTATGAGAATAGGAAGCCCCGTCTTTCTCTTGAGGAGTCGCTGGTGGTTTCAAACTCCTGACCTTGCAGTTGGCAGCACAACACGGAACTCCTATTCCACTGGGGCCCTACAATGGTGACTTAGTAGCCATCTTAAAATAAAGGATGGCCTCAATAGCAGGGTGTTGGAGTGCGGCAAAAGTGTGCGTTCAAATCTCCGTTCTGCCTCTCGTCACGGTCACAGCCTGTCTGCCACCTTGGGGGAAAGTCATTTAGCCTCTTTGCCCTAACCTCCTCAGTACAAGGGCAACAATTCCTACTCATGTATGTCAGATGCCTGTGTGGGTTAAATGAGACAACGTGCGTACAACCGGATTGTCATCTAGCGAAGACTGTCCAGAATTTGCAGTGTGACCATGATGACTACTGTGAAGGTCAATACAGAAAGATGTGGTTGGGTTGGGCAGTGTCAGGGAACAGATTGTGGGATGCGATGGTAGATTTCGGTTAATGAGCTGTCATCTTTGGAAACACGGCCCAATGTGAATTGCCCAAGGCAGATGTCCCTGTAATTCCCAATGATGGTAGCAGCGAGGCGGGCTGATAACGGGAGCACATGCCCAATCTCTCTTTTATTGTCTATCCCGGTTGGTTCCGGGAACTTGGGGACCTGACTGGCATGGGAAGGAGGGTGCCCACCTTGGTCACAGTGGATCCCATATTTGCCCTCGGTGCAGGTCTCGCAGGCTGTCCCGCTGAAGCCTTCTCCACACTCACACGAGCCTGTGCCGTTCGTTCCGTCCAAGCAGATTCCGTTTCCGAAGCACACGTTCCCGGCTGTCCCAGGGCAGGGCTGACACTCAGGACCGAAGAAGCCGGCACAGCATTCTCTTGTCTGAAATGGAGACCCAGGGCTTGGTTCATATCCCCGTGCTCTGTTTTTGCCCACCTCCCTGTAGAAACCCTGCCGGTGTGACTCAGAGGGTGCCCTGCTCTGTGAGCCCACACGGAGGGAGAGTAGGGGTTGGGGACAGAATGCCCTGGGGACAAGGAGTCTAAACAACGTTCAGGGGTGCTGTAGAGAAGACCGAGGCCTCCCCGGTGGGGCATGAAAGAGGGACTGGAAAAATGTCAAGTAGGAGAAAGAGAGGCAGCAGAAATAAATGACAGGAATCATGGAAATGATGCCAGCTAGGTTGGAGGACCCAGGAACCCTTGCCATGCCCAAGTTCAGGGCACCTGGTACCCCGTGTTCATTGTCACCTCTGCAGGGGGATCCCTTTGGTGTTTCATAAATGACTCAGGGGAGCCCTGACGGGTGTATCTGGCTTGGGCCTGGTTTTATTTCCAAGTGCATTCAAACGCAATGCCCTAAACTCTGAAGCTTAAAAACCCACGGATGTCGTCTCTTCTAGGATGTTGCTGTTAGTGGTGTTAGGTACCATTGGATCTGCTCCAACTCAGAGTGACCCTATGCCCAGCAGAATCAAACACTGCCCGGTCTCGCCCCATCCCCTCCATCCCCGCTCTGCTTGTGCCCCTTGCCGCCGTCACTGGGCCAGTCCATCTCCTTGAGGTTCCTCCTGTTTTGTGATTGCCAGGGGCTGACTTCTCCTGGTATCATGTCCAAAGGACGTGAGAGAAATTCTCTCTGTTCTTGCTTCTCAGGAGCATGCCGGCAGTGCTTCCAAGACAGAGTCGTCCACATTTCTGGTCATCTACAGTATGGTCAGTGTTCTTCATTAACGCCAGAGCCACATGTCATAGCTAGTTCACTGATATGGGGCAGGAATCCTGTTTCTAAATGACCAGGTCTACCTTTTCACTAAGCAAATTGGGCACTTCCTGTCTCTTGCTTGCAAGCATGTCCCTGGAATGACCCACTTGCAAGGACAGGGAGGTCCTCTTAGCCTCTTGGCCCCCCATTTCTCCATCATGTAAACGTTCTTGCAGCTTCTACCCAGTGTCTGGGGATGTCTGGGAAGGAGTTGTATGACATCCATGCCTACTTTGCATATGGTAATGAAGATCTGGAGGAGGGCAGGGGAGGTGGCAGAAAACACACATGCATAGGTGTTTTGCAAAGGAAGCCATTTGATGAAATCCCGCAATATCGCTGCCACAATCAGGAGGATTAGTAACTCACGCTACTCACAATGATAGTTTTCACACATTTTGGCTGGCACCCAATGAACACGGATCGCCGTCCCATGAAATAGAGAGTATAGATGCATCTCCTCGTCTCATTGCCCTGGGAAACAGTAGTGGTTAGATCAGCTTCTTAGTTAAGATTTAAAAAAAAATGTCCCCAATCTCTGAGAACAAGTTGGTGGTGTGTCTTCAACTAAAATGTTGTAAGGAGGAAGGGCGATGACTTCTTGCCCCTGCTTTATCAATTAGAAAACACAATCGCACGTTGCTGGCTGACGGAAAAATGCAAACAATTATCCCTTCAGGTAGTTGTTAAGTCCCTGAGTATGCAAATAAGTGCTGGGCTACTCACGGGAAGAGTGGCTGTTTGAACCCCACCCCCTGGAGGAGTTGTGGGTTATGCGTTAGGGTGCTAACCACCAGGTCAACGGTTGGAACCACCAGTCGTCTGAGGGAGAGAGATGAGGCTTTCTACTCCTGTGAAGAGTCAGTCTTGGAAGCCCACCGGGTAGTTCTACCTTGTCCTCTGGGGCCACTAGGAGTCAGAATGGAGGCGAAGGCAGTGAGTTTGAGTTTTGAGGGGACTTCAAAAGAAAAACTTGGCAATCTACTTCTGAAAATAACCACCCCACGTTGGTATTCTGATGCACGGGGACCCTGGGGAGTTGGAGTCCACTAGGGGGCAGCTTTCTCTCTCTCTCTCTTTAAGGTCCTACTCTGTAAAAACTATTCTCAGAAGACAAAACTCAAGTTAGGAAGAGCCAGGGAGTAAACCAGATGAAAATTCCTTTATAGCATTCCACATCGATCGATCTGAGCCTCGTTCTTTATTTACGGATTCATCTCCTACTGTGTTTCGGGAAATGACTGGAGGCTGTGCGTCAAAGATTACATGCAAATGTGCGAGCACATTGGTGTTCATTCTTCTTATCAATGACTACAGGAGGGGGAGGCAGTTTATTCTTTGTAGTGGTTGTCACATTATTAGGAGAAGCTTTAACAATACATAGCGATCAGAAAATAGATCACTAAGGCATCGAAGGATGCAACTGTTTCCATCTGCTTCCCTAGAGGAAGTTGGCTGTATCACCCACTCTACGGACACAGCAGGCAGGAAGAGGGCATCCAGGATGACTATGGGCCGGGATGCTGCACTTGTCGTTGCTGATAAAGAGTTCTCGCTGCTGTCCTCAACTGGCTACCAGGAGATGAAAGAGGTAGAAAATGAAATCCTCTTTCAGCCATGTGTATTGACTGAGCCCCAGGTTCTATTTATTTATTCCTTAAATATAGTTTTAAAAGTTTAAGGTTGCTTTTAAATAGTTACACAGTATGATAAGGAACCAACCAAGTCAAACCAAACCAAACTCACTGCCATCGAGTTGATTCTGACTCATAGCCATGGCAGAGACAGAGTAGAGCTGCCTCAGTGGGTTTTTGAGACTGTAATTCTTTTTTTTAAATCATTTTATTGGGGGCTCATACAACTCTTATCACAATCCATACATACATATATGTGTAAAGCACATTTGTACATTCGTTGCCCTCATCATTCTCAAAACATTTGCTCTCCACTTAAGCCCCCGGCATCAGCTCCTCATTTTCTTTCTTTCTCTCTCTCTCTCTTTTCTTTCTTTCTTTCTATCGTTTTATTAGGGGCTCATACAACTCTTTTCACAATCCATACATATATCAATTGTGTAAAGCACATTTGTACATTCTTGCCCTCATCATTCTCAAAACATTTGCTTTCCACCTAAGCCCCTGGCATTAGCTCCTCATTTTTTCTCCTCCCTCCCCACTCCCCCTCCCTCATGAACCCTTGATAATTTATAAATTATTATTTTGTCATATATATTGCCCTGTCCGACGTCTCCCTTATCCCACTTTTCTGTTGTCTGTCCCCCAGGGAGGAGGTTATATGTAGATCCTTGTAATTTGTTCCCCCTTTCCACCCCACCCTCCCTTCACCCTCCCAGTATCGCCACTCTCACCACTGGTCCTGAAGGGATCATCTGTCCTGAATTCCCTGTGTTTCCAGTTCCTATCTGTATCAGTGTACATCCTCTCATCTAGCTCAATTTGTAAGGTAGAATTGGGGTCATGATAGTGGGGGGAGGGGGAAGGAAGCATTTAGGAGCTAGAGGAAAGTTGTATGTTTCATCGTTGCCACACTGCACCCTGACTGGCTTGAGACTGTAATTCTTGATGAAAGTAGACAGCTTTAACTTTCTCTCATGAATTGGCTGGTGGTTTTGAACTGCTGGCCTTGTGGTAAGTAGCCAACATACTTGTATAACCCACGATGCCTCCAGAAGTAAGAATGAAGTACCATATATACTCGAGGATAAGCCAACCTGCCTATCAGCTGAGGCACCTAATTTTACCGCAAAAACTGCATGAAAAATGTGCTGGAACACTTGGCTTATGCATGAATACATATGGTATATTTGAGACGTATTTTCTAAATTGTATCTGAAAACTACTCACTGACATGGACATGACACTCACCAGTGGTTTAGTTCCGAGTGGGCAGATTGGCTTCTGGGGACACTTCCCACACTTGCCCTTGGTAAACGGGGGAAGAAAAGAATTCAAGGTTATCCATTTCAGTGCAGAATGAGGCAGTAGATATTTTCCAGATCTTGCAGCGGAAATCGTTAAAATATAAAGTGGAACATGGGAAAGATATGTGGGAAGACCATCTGGTCAACCTCCTTCATGTTCTTTGAGACAAGCACTTCAATTATCTCCAGCCTTGGGTGTTTGAGTATCGTTTTCCTCCACATTATTCTTCTGAGCCGAACAGCCCATTATTATTTGTCTTATTCTTTTATTTTTCCAATGCAAATGCAATTTAAGGTGTCATCTTGAACTAATGGGCTACATAGCAAAAATGCATGACAAGAAATTCAACTAGGCAGTCATTAATTTTTATCCACGTCCTTATATATAGAAGTTAGCCAACAACAAAAAATTGAGATTCAAGAGACCTACAGACTACATAGATATGTTCCACTTAGAAATAAAGGCTACATAAGTATAATAAAAATGTAGGAAAGGTGGTTATATACCAATAGACAAGATCTTGATTGTGAAGAGGCCAGGGAAGGGGTTAGGAACAGGGAGAGGGGAAGGCTGGTGGAGAGGCGAGGGAGGAGGACAAAAAATGGAGAGTTAACATGAAAAAAAAAGAAAAATATAAAAATAAATACTGCTTCATGTAAAGAAACAAAACAACCTTCAGATTCTTTACCTCTCAGATCTAAATATTGGTCTGAGTGGCTAAAAAAGGAGGAAAAATAAAACTGAAGTGGACTGGGGGTCTTTAGTGAGATACCAGTTTATTAGTTCATTTCAGACAAAACAAACAAAATAACAGCTTGTTAGCAAATTCTCATCCATGTAACAAGACTTTCACATAACTACATTCAGAAGCACCATTGCTTTTGGATAGATTCATGAGTCTGCCCTTCTTGAAAAACCTGAAAAGATAGCTTTTTAAAACCATGACCATCTTTGTCATGTTAAAGCGAACTGGTAAATGCAATACACCCAAGCCCAACCCATTGCCATGGACTTGCTCATAGCAACAACGTTCCGCTGACACTGAATACATTTACTTTAACAGGACATTAACGAGGACTGGGAAACCCAAGAAGCCATCCTCATTTTGCCTCCTTCCTGTGGAGCAGCTTGTGTAGTTGGACTGCTTGTAGTTACTGTAGGTAGGACCACGCCTACCTGTTAGGTCTGCCCCTTTCCCTGACCGCCCTTCACAGCACTGAGACAAACCAAGGCGTGGGTCACATAGTGACCAAGAACCGAATCAAACTCACTGCCACCGAGTGGATGCTGACTCGGAGCGACCCTGTAGGACAGGGCAGAACTGCCCCCGCGGGTTTCTGAGAGTGTAACGCACTCTGGGAGCAGAAACCAGCTGGTGGGTTCAAGGTGCCCACCTGGTGGTTAGCAGCCCTCTGCATCACCATGCCACCGCCCGGCTCCTCGACCAGAGCGAGGGCACGACAAGCCAGTCTTCTTAACTTTCTTTTATACCCAAAGCAACAACCACAAAAGCGCAATTAGACTAGTTCTGCACAAGCGGCGTTCCAGAAACTAGGTTTTGGCCCCAGCTTCACATTCTGATTGCAAGTCCCTTTCACTCTTGTCATTGATACCTTCCCTGACAGCTATCTTTCTTGTAAATTTTGACAAACTTGTGGGAGCCCTGCTGGCGGTGTCATTACCTGTCGTTGTTAGGCATTGGGCTGCCGTCCTCAAGGTCTGCAGTTAGAAACCAGAAGCCACTTCTCGGGAGATAGCCAGGGCCTTCTTCTCCCAGGAAGATTTATAGTCTCGGAAACTCACAGGGGCAGTTCTACCTTGTCCTATAGAGTCGCTATGAGTCAGCATCGACTCAATGGCTGAGTTTGTCATTTGTTTTGGAGAACAGCCCATTAAAGCTTATCTCCATTAAATCCCCATTCCTTGAACACCGAAACTCATGGATTGAAATCCACTATGTAGGGGGTGGGGTCAGACAGTACCCGGACTGGAGTTCATGGTCCAGTGGAAGGGGACCGGGTGGAGACAGCCGACCAGACAATATTACAAGGCAACTAATGACAGAAACTGTGAAGTACAACTCAGTCCTCAAACAGGAGGCGGCCAGTTTGCCTAGCTCTCATTTTGGCACCTATGGGACAGTATAAAAGGAGCCCAGGTAGTGCAGCGGGTTAAGCATTGAGCTATAAGTAGTAAGGTTAGTGGTTCAAACCCAACGGCTGCTCTAAGAACAATAAAATATTTAGAGGAGAGATTGGCACCTAAGAAGTTCCCCCAAAGGGCAGCAGTTACCATTACACTTTACGCTATGTTACAATTTCACTGCAGTGAAACGCCTTCCAGAAGTCTAGACTGAGTTCTTCGATTATTCTCTTGGTTACAATGTCTAGCACTCAATCCTGGGAGTGATTAAGTAATGCCTTGATGGTTCCTTCTGTCTTTTTGGTACATGGGAAAAGCAAAGAAACTAAACACTCATTTCTTATGAGCAACAATTTCTCCCTGAAATCCCTCCCAGGGCTCGCCCTTGCCCAGCTGAAGGTAACGCCTGCCATTCCTTCTAACTCTTGTAAAATAAACAAAGACTCTTTGTACAAAGCTTTCTTGTTAAGACGAGGGGATGGAAGAGGGCCCGTCAACTGCTGAAAGCCATGCCACTCCAAAGAGGAGGAAGCAGAACCCCTTCTTGGAGCTCAGCGAGAGAGGCAATATACCAGACCACTAGCGAGCCCTGCACATTCCATGTCACTTGGCCCCCGCACTTTGCTTAGCGTTTCTCTCGTCTAGAACATTCTTCTCTCTCTTCTCTATCTGTTCAATCCCTGCTTATCCTTTAGCAATGTCCTGGAGAGCCAACTGATAGTCCTCCAGAGGAGTGTCCTCCCGTGTCCCTCAGCACGCAATCAATGCCTGGTAAACATTAGTGGGTATGATTATTGGTATGCTCGGCAAAGTAGAGGGTCCGTGAAAAAGAGAAAGACCTTCAAGGAGGTAAACTGACACAGTGGTTGCAACAAGGGGCTCAAACAGGACAGCAATGGTGGGAATGGCACCTATTGACAATCACGTTGTCACTGAAAGGTCCTACATGGCCCTTTTCACTGGACTCAAAGGTCTCCACCATCACCTGCTATATTCACTGAAGTAATCAATTTCTAGGTTGCATTTCCTTCTAGTAGATCTAGTTGGCCAATCCCTGCGACTGGCTCACCGTATCCCTCTCCCTGTGCCTGTGCTAGACACGGCACAGCTACCCTTGGGGGCAGACCTTGCTTCAGGATTCTGTTCAGCACAGCCTTCTGGGTGGCCCTTGAGGGCAGGGGCCATATCCTACTGGTCTTCATGGAGCCACAGCCTGGTATGTTGTCAGGCACATCAGAGATACTTAATTTTTTTTGAACTGAATTGAGGTCCATTTCTAGAAGAGTTTGATGCTTGAAAGAAATGATTAAAAAGACAGCAAAATCCAGCACTCCTTAGTTGAGCATTGACCCTGGATGTAACTTACTCGAACAATAGTCGTGTCATTATTATCACATCTATTCTTCTGAATTTCCAGAACTTTCTCCAAGCCGTGGATCACCCCCTTGTCCGTGGCTGCATTGGTGTAGTTTACCTGAGCATCATTTACATAGAGCTGTGAAAAAGAGGATGGAATGTGAACTTTTATTATCTTGGCTTCAGAGGGATGGGGAAGATGTGGATTAGAGGATAACCATATGACAAGGGTTTGACGCAGTGGTTCTCAACCTTCCTAATGCCGCGGCCCTTTCATACAGTTCCTCATGTTGTGGTGACCCCCCCCAACCATAACATTATGTTCGTCGTTACTTCATCACTGTAATTTTGCTACTGTTATGAATCAGGCGACCCCTGTAAAAGGGTCATTCAACCCACAAAGGGGTCACGACCCACAGGTTGAAAGCCGCTGGTTTAAGGAATGTCTTTACCAACATCTAACTGTGAACCCTGGGACAGTTGCTTCTCTTCGCTGAGCCTGCATTTTTGCTCAAGTAAAAAGAAGGGCTGCTTTAGATCATCTCTATCTTTCAAACGAGTTGATTTATGAGTTTTTGAAAACAGTTGAATCATGACCGTGATTTAGTGTCTGCTGGCGGGAGGCTCCATGGGCAATCTCAGAGCCGGCAGTGTCTTCCCAAACCAAGACCCGGAGAATGAAACCCACTGTCTTTTTGAGTATCTTTACTTCTGGCTGATTTACAATCAATCTTCAAAAAGGATACATGATAGTTATAAAAGAAAAAATAACTAGAATTTGTAGGGTGTTTTAGAGTCTATAAAATCTCTAAGATCGGTGAAGAAAGCTGATGGTGCCCGGCTATCAAAAAGTATAGCGTCTGGGGTCTTAAAGGCTTGAAGGTAATCAAGTGGCCATC